TCATCTGGCCCCTGGTCTCCAGCAGCTGGGTGATCTCCTCCAGCGAGGAGCTCGCCACGTCGCTGTCCTCCGCGATCTGCACGGGGAACGGGAAGAGACCGAATGAGCTGGCATCGGCACGGTCAGACCCAGGCTGGCCTGGGGCCTGGAGCGGGGAACAGACCATCCCTGGCGTTCAGGGCCCCGGCTGGGTTTATTAATGCTCCCTCCAGCTCCTGGCTGGTGTGGTAGCAGCTCCTAGGTCGCGGCGCTGCCCATCGGCAGAACCACGGAGAGGGTCAAATGCGTGTCATGGAGCATGAAGGCCGAGGTCCCTCAGCACTGCTGGCATGTAGCCATGGGCCTGCCCGGACCGCTGGTCCGATTTCTTGCCTAACAGAGGCCCAGAGTCCCCCCGGGAGTCCCACACCGAGCCCATCTCCGGGGGGCTGAGCTAGGGGGCCTACTTCAGGATGGCCTGCAGGCCTTGTTTCCCAGGCCTGGGAGAGGGAGTGGGCAGAGCTGCGTGAGGCATGTCAAGGGACATGGCATGTAGCCATGGGCCTGCCCGGACCGCTGGTCCGATTTCTTGCCTAACAGAGGCCCAGAGTCCCCCCGGGAGTCCCACACCGAGCCCATCTCCGGGGGGCTGAGCTAGGGGGCCTACTTCAGGATGGCCTGCAGGCCTTGTTTCCCAGGCCTGGGAGAGGGAGTGGGCAGAGCTGCGTGAGGCATGTCAAGGGACAGAATTTCTATGGGGAGAAGGGCAGAAGGGATCCGGCGCCCTGAGGAGTGGGGCAGGAGGGATCCGGCGCCCCGGGGAGAAGGGCAGGAAGGGGAAGGGGTGCAGTGGGATCCGTGGCCTTGGCAAGTGGGGGCAGGAAGAATGAGCGTCCTGCCTCCCCCCAACCTCCCTTACTGCTCAGCAGCCACAGTGCCCTCCTACCTGGGCCATACGCTGCTGCCCCAATTTCCAGCCCGTGTTGGCCTTTCCAGACATTCCACCAGGAGGCACCCTCCCACGGGGCTGGCGCTGGGGCCGGAGACTGGGGCAGGAGGGCACTGCACCAGCAACACGGCCAGGCTGTGGACCTGGCCCACCTGTAGCTACCCCCCACTTCCGGGTCGCCGCTTTCTCCAAAAGGCACGATACCTGCAGTTGCTTGGCTGAGTGGCTGGCGTGGGGCGAGTCGGAGGGCGGCGCGGGGAGGAGTTTGAACCCGCCGACAGGCTTCCTCCCCGGCATGCTCAGCGTGCGCTCCAGGTTTCTAGCCATGGCCGACACCAGCGTCCCTGCGGAGAGCACAGCTCGGTAGGAGGGGAATGCGGGGCCCTGCCATCACACGCTCAATGTCGCTGCATAGCTGAGCTGCTCCCCAGGACCCAGTGTGAGCAGGAAGGGATTTCCTTCCAGACCCCAGGGCGGCCAGAGCCCCCCACCCCCCCTGCCCGTGCCTCCCAGACTGGTTAGAAACCGTCTTCCAACTTCCAGCCTCCGCTCCCCCATAGGGCAAATACAACCAGCTGCCGATGACTGCCCCCATGCACCTCAATCTGAAATTGCTTCTGCTGTCCATCGCTGATTGGCGATGTCGGAGCAAAGTTCTGGCCTCTTGGGGGGTGGAGCCCGCAGGTCGTTTCCGGGCATAGCACGCCGGAAAGGACCGCTGGGACCCTCCAGGCTGATCTCACCAGAGAACTCCCCAAAGTAATTTCCAGATCAGAGCTTTCAGAAACACAACCCATCTGGTGTTGACACTTGTCAGCGAGGGACAATCCACCACCACCCTTGGCCGGCAGCTCTAATGGGTTAGCGCTTGTCTAGTAACTTCCAGCTCATCGGGTGCCAGGTAACTCAACACGTGCGTGTAAGGCATAGTCTTGACATGCCTCGAATGCCTGTTCCAGGATAAAAGTGCTTGTAATTTTGGCTCCCCCTCTACCCAACTCCATAGTCAAAATTCTATCGTTTTTACTGCCAAAACCCCACTGTTTTTACAGTGGGATACCACACTCGCTACCCTGCTGGAAGACTCCGGTGGAGACAAGTCTCTGACTTTTACTGTGGGGAAGATAGGTGAGATCAACAGCTTAGCCCGGCCTGTGGTTCACCTTGAGTGTGATATTTACATCCTGCAGTAAACTCTTGGGGAGCATGCACACCCGCCTTTACAAGGGTGCTGGTAAAACACCTCCAGGGCACACACCTTTGCAAATAATGTGCAAGAGGAGTGTCGTTCAAAGGGATGGCGTCAAGATTTGGGACTGCAAATGTGGTCCCCACGTAACACGCTTGCCAAAGACTGGGGCAGAGGTAGTGATGAAAGGGGCCATGTAAACGGACGTCTTTTAGCTCAAGCAGTAGAAGCCAGCTTGGTGGGGTTAAAGAAAGTCCTGGATTTATTCCCCTCTGGGAACTGGAATCTACTCGGGCACCTAAGGCTTCTCAGGGAGCAAGCTAAAATCAGTGGTTCTTTCTGTGGGGCGTTTGACAGCCATTTGCATATCGTTTGTTTCACTGTTTCCCGGAATAGTCAGTTTCTATCTTGCTTAAACCCCTCTCCCCATATCAGCCTCAGCAGCAAACCTGATATTGGTTCCCCAAAAGCATGCTGGAAAAAGACAGCACACTGAGCAAACACTAGTGTCCATTAAAAACGCCAAGTGGTAGCCAGAAGCCCCAGACCCCTTTATATTTCTGGGCCCCCCCAGCAGCTTCCCCCTTTACTCCTCCGGTCGGTGACCCTGCTTCACAGTTTCCTCCTAGACGGAAAACAGGCTGAACAGATGGGAACACTCAGCTGGCTCTTTGGTTGAGAGGAGCTGTCAAAGATGGCAACTGACGTGCATGCAAATCTCCCTGGGTATGTCTACACTACCCTCCTAATTCAAACTAGGAGGGTAATGTAGGCATACCGCACTTGCAAATGAAGCCCGGGATTTGAATTTCCCGGGCTTCATTTGCATGAAGCCGGCCAGCGCCATTTTTAAATGCTGGCAGTTCGAACCCTGTGCCACG